GTATCGTCTTTATTCCGTTCCCTAGACCAAATTGAGCAGTTAACGCATGGGAGAGCGGGGGCTGCCCCACTGCAAGGGTTAACATTTTACATTCCTGGAGTTCCCCTTTAAGGTACAACAATAGAAGTCTGTGTATAATGGGACTTTTAAGGTGCAATGAGCTCAAGCTTAAGGTGTCGATGCTTCTCATGAAACTGCATTAAAGAAGAACTCCAGGATTTTCAAAAGTTAACCCCTGCAGTAAAGTGTCGCCTATGGACAATTTGGGGTGCCGCAGTTTTTTTCACCGTTTCACAGAACATAATTTTTACGGATGGCATGTTGGGTATCCATTTACTCGGCGCGCCCTCATCTTTTATATTTTACAAACAATTGGGTATTATCTTGTGTTTTTGTGCTAAAATTAACGAGTATATTTTTTCCTGCAATTTTGGGTTTGATAAAGAGTTGCGCTAATATGCGACAAAAAAATGTGCAAATGCCTCCATTCTATTCTACAACAGGGGTGGGCAACCCAGGCCCTTCAGCTGCGCTTTAAAAGAGAACTATGGGGTAACCTTTTCATCCCATAGTTCTCTATGGGGTCAGAGGAGGACATATGCTAACCTCCTCCTGTAACCAAAAGCTCAGTATACAGCGGGCTATTACCCGCTATATACTGAGAGCATCGCAGCTGAGACGGATCCCGGCAATACTGTCGAGATCTGCCCAGCTGTGTGAGTGACAGCTGGCTCTGCCTATCTAGAGGCAGACACACCTATGCCCGCCCCCTCCTCCACTCAGTGCTGGAGGATCGGAGCCGGGAATGGGGGAATCCCTGCGGGGAGCCGTGAGTGACAGTCACGGCTCTCTGCAGGGAGATCGGGAAGTGAGCGAGCGGCGGCGGTATGTTTTTGTTCACTTCCCGGTCAATAGAGCTGGCGTGTGACAGTTTCAACGTCACACGTCGGCTCTAACTATGAGAAGTGTAAATTACTCACCTCATAGTTCACATTTAACTACAAATCCCAGCATGCCTCTGGGAGTCATGCCTGTTACGGTCAGTCTTGCATTGCCTCATGGGACTTGTAGTCCCTCAACAGCTGGAGGGCCGGAGTTGCCCACCCCTGTTCGGGGTCTCTGCTGTCAGGAAATAAATAATCCCACAGTACAAAATATGCAAAAAATGGCACTGGCAACAAAAGGGTTCATCCTTGCTGTACTCTAAAGTGGTAAATAAGAGAAACTAGTTACGGCACATGCAGCAAGTTCCCCGTCACTTTCCTGCTTCCTTATTTGCATTTTTCTTTTTTAACCAGCGCTCTCCTGGGGGATGAGAGATAAAAGCAGAAGCTCCTCTGCCCGGTGGGTACACCGCTCCGCCACCTCTCCTAAAAGGATTATATTGTGTTTTTTGAGGTCATATCAGATGCAAAACGCTCAGCGAGGCTCCGAAACAACTACAGAGAAGAGATAACCAATCAGTGAGCAAACACTGCAACCGTGCTAAAGTTTACTCCATTTTCCTCAAAGAGAACCTGTTAGGACAACATTACCTATCACAGCTGGAGCTCTTATCCATTTCTAGTGGCTGGAAGGAGCAGCATTTGTTACTTGGGCACCAGAAGTCATAGGAAAAGCAGAGCCAGCTTCTCATATGCATGTCTTAGCAGGGCAGTAGCCTCTTGTCACATGACTACAATATGCAATTTCCCTGATTGTCTGCCGGGGGTGCCTTAAAGCAGAACTCCAGTTTTTACCTTCTGTAACAGAGGGCATCCTGTCTCTGCTTCATCATCTATTATTATTTAGGGGTCTTTTCTCCCCACTCAAACAATCTGAAGTCTTCACAGCATAGAACGTTGTACCCCAATAGCCACAACAAGCAGCTCTGAGATGAGCGAGGCATCCGAGTCCAAAAAGCAGCTCAATACTTGCCCCAATTCTGACCTCCGGCCTTCCCGTCAGTCTTATATCTGACCTCCAGCCTTCCATCTGACCTCCGGCCTTCCCTTCAGTCTTATATCTGACCTCCGGCCTTCCCTTCAGTCTTATATCTGGCCTCCGTCCTTCCCTTTAGTCTTCTATCTGACCTCCGGCCTTCCCTTCAGTCTTATATCTGACCTCCGGCCTTCCCTTCAGTCTTATATCTGACCTCCGGCCTTCCCGTCAGTCTTCTATCTGACCTCCGGCCTTCCCTTCAGTCTTATATCTGACTTCCGGCCTTCCCTTCAGTCTTATATCTGACCTCTGGCCTTCCTTCCGTCTTGCACAGTTGTACCGGCTCCTCTCCTGGAATGACTTCCTCTGATATCACTGCACACTGGAAGCTTCTCACCATGTGCATTAGAAGCTGCATCGACCCAGATAAAGCCCGCCTCATTTCCTGCCTGGAGGATGTCCAGCATCATATAGCTCTTTCCTGTCCAGCCTCACTGTCTCTGCCCCCGCCCCTTTCATTTATTGGATGTCAGTTCTTCCATTCATGGAGGCTCAGCATCACATGTGGGCATTGCCTAGGGTGGTCTGCATGCAAATACAGCTTGTCTAAAGATGCCCACTCCTAATATCAGCTGATCACGGCATTTTGATATTAACATAACCCATCCGGAGAGGTCAGAGGTTAATGTAACATGATTAGGAAGTGTTTGCCATTCAGCTGCGTCCTATTCAGATTCATCCTGTGATTGGCAAATAAAAGCACTTTGTGTTCCTGCTGGATGTCAGCTCCACCTCAGGCTGAAGCCCAATTTATGGGCATTCCTATGGGGGAGTTGCTGCACAGAACTTGAACCACGTCTCTCCCCGCCCCCCTCCTCTGCGTGCTGTGAGCACATATATTGTAACCAACAAGTAGATAACGCAGCAATGTTCCGCTCTGCATGCCTGCTGCTACAGACAATTCTTTGTATGTTTCCTATGAACATATATCAAGAAGCATCTTGCTGACTGTCTCCTCCGCACCGGCCATGTCACTGTCACTCAGACCTCGGCTGAGCAGCATGGTTGAACAGCGGTGGGAGAAGGGTTGGCGTGCTGTTGATCACACTAGTTTAGCATTCGCAGCCCAAATTGGCACAGAACCAAGTGCTATATGCACTTGGTCCCCTAAGGGATTCAACAAAGACGTTTAAGTTACGGCGATACTTCTTCTTTAAGCAATTTATATTCCTTGTCCCGCAATCAAGCTGCCCACATCTTCCAAGTTTCTCCCCACCTCCATCCTCGTCATTGGACAGTGAGCAGCATCATCATCACCTCTGTCCAGTGAGCAGAGAGAGAACACAGGAAGTAGCGGGCTAATCTTATGCATGAGCAGAGCTGAGTAGGAAAAGGACAGCTGTCCAAATTACAAAAATCTTTTGGCAACCAAAACTGTAAACGTATGTACTTCATAGAAAGAGGTCATGCTATGCTCCCAGGGATGTGCTGATGTTAGCTGGTAGGTGAATGGAACTCAGCAATGCTTCTCCCCCCCGCCCAAGACGTAAAGATCTGGTCTTACTCTGAGAACATCAGCATATTGTTAAAGTGACACTAAACTCAGTAAAAATACATTCAAGTCCCCTAACCATTAACAGCAATGTATGTTATTTGTGTATCACTCGGCTGTAGATCCTCCAATCATCTCTGAATTGGTGCTGACACTGTCCTTCCTTCTGGAGGGGGGCTACTTGTGTTCCCCATGGTCCCTGTGTGTGTTGTAAATTATTCACCTCTCCAATGATGGACTACAATCTCATGTTTGATTTACTAATTTGTACCGAGATTGTAGTCCAGCCCGGGGGGGAGCTTGGAGCGGTAACTAAATTACAACACACACAGGGACCGTGGGGAACAAAAAGTAGGCCCCCTCCAGAAGGAAGGACAGTGTCAGCACCAATTCAGAGATGTTTTGAGAATCTACAACCGAGTGATAATAAAAATGTATCTTATTTGTGTAATAGTTAAAAGGAGAACTATGAGGCGAATTATTTTCACTCATCCTCATAGTTCGAGCCGACCTGTGACATTGAAACTGTCACAGGTCGGCTCTATAGATCGGGAAGTGAGCGAACGCTTACCATCGCTCGCTCACTTTCCGATCATCTCCTTGCAGAGAGAGTGGTGACTGTCACTCACAGCTCCCCGCAGGGATTCCCACCCTCCCCGCCAGCGATGACTGGAGAACGGATAGGGGAGGGCACAGCTGGCTCTGCATCTAGATAGGCAGAGCCCACTGTCAATCAGGCAGCTGGGTGGATCCCGACAACATTGTCGCGATCTGTCCTGGCTCCGGCGCTCAGTATATAGCAAGCTACTGAGCTTCGGGTCACAGGGTGGACACTAGTATATGTCCTCCCGTGACCCTAAAGAGAACTATGGGATAAAAAGGTTACCCCCATAGTTCTATTAAAAAAAATAAAAAAAGGTACTTGAATGCATTTTTAGGATTTAACTAAGTTTGGTGTCACTTTAAATCTTTATTGATCCGCAAATTTTCACAGAAGCCCCATCCTGGGCTTCGTCCTGTATCTCTCATGATATCTCTATTAATAAGCCCTTTCTAGGTGAAACGCGTCAAAGTGAGGTGGTCCCAGTTGAACATATCCAGAACAAAGTTTTAACACAATGCTTAGAGTGCAGCCAGTCCTCAACTAAGCGGTTCTACCTCATGTCGCACTTGTAGGAGAAGGATTAGAGGAACGGCTGATTAAAGGTGTATTAATGCACACAACATGCACCATACCCAACATGTATTCTTACAAATTGTTTCGAACAACAAAACAAAACAAAACAAAAAAAAAACAAAAAACTATTGTTCCCAAAACGGACATAATCAGCTAGCTGTGTGTGAGAAACGTCCTCCGCTGTACACGATACAAAGCAAATAAATAGAAATGTTCCAAAAAACAGAGAAATCTGCTTCAGCTGCACTGTCTACATACAAGGTCACATGACCAGTAATCATAGTTTTATTTGTGCAGGTCCAAACTCCGCCTCCTCCATAGAAGATCCGGCTCTTGGGCCTGCCGACAGATTTATGTGATGGCGTACACTTCATCGTCGTCCTCGGAGTACGGAGTCACCTCGCTGTCACTTAAGCTATTCGCGTCGTCGTTTTCCTCCAGGTCGCTGTCGTCGCTGCTGCTGCTGCTGTTGATGATGGAGAGGAAGGAGTTATCCGAGCTGCTGTCACTCTCTACGGGAATTGGGATTGCTTCCTGTCCTTGACCTGCCAAGAACACAGAACAAAACTCTGTTATTTAGGCAATTTGGGACTTCTCATCCAAACAATACATTTTGGATGGAGTTTTACAAAATCTATAACTGGATGAGGACTGCATGGAGTATGCGAGCCTAAGAAAAACCCAGCAACACGACCTGCAGCTTTCCTGCAAATAATAAAACGCGAGAGGGGCTAGTTCACGCCAAGCGCGTTCCAGGAGCAGAGCAGTTACAGACCGGATCAAAACTGCGTCCAATGTATTCCAATGGTATTTTGGGCTCTAGTTCACACCGCAGCGTTCAGTTCCAGAGCATGAAAAAAAAAAAAAAACTGCAGCAAGCTCTATTTTACCGGCTCTTGAACGCATGCAGACGGCCCGCAAACGCACTGAAAGGTCATTGTAAACTTTAAAGAACTACGTTTTTTTTTTTTTGCAAAAACAGCCCGGAACGCATCACAAACGCCGTATAACACACTGCACTGCGTGTGCAGAAACTCATGCAGATCTGGTCTGCATTTGGTGTGAACAAGCCCTAAAGTGTAACTTATTTCATCACCTCCCACTACCATTGCAGTATCAGGGATTCATTCAAAAAAGTTCACACAATATAGGAACTTCCTGCGCTCATCTGTGCCATCTAGAGGCGTTCGTGTCGTTCGCTGGACTCCTTTGGGGGCATTTACATGTTAAAACTTATATAACATTTACATCGACTTAAAAATTGTGAACGGTGAACACGCATGAGCAGAGTATGAATGGAAACGGCAGAGGGATGAATGGACACTGGGCGCCTCCTAGTGGAAAACCGCTACCGAGATCCCTTTACTACAAAGCAGGTGACACCTCTACTCCGTCTGAGGATCCGTTCACACCGACAAGTGGAGCGCAACATGTGGCTGCTGGTGTGCAATGACGGACAATGCTGATGTGTGGATCCCGGTGTTGCATTGGGAGATTGCGATCCGTAACTGTCTACGACGTCCGGTGACATTAAGGGCCTGTTCACATGAATTTCAGGTCCTGATCAGGTCCGGATCTGCAGACGCGGTGCTACTGATGCAGTGCGTTTTGATGGAGTGGGGCTGTTAGTATGTTAGCTGCAGTGCGTTTTTGACGCGTTTGCGTTTCCTGACCGTACAAAATGTGACAAGCAGTATTTTTCGTCGTAACCTGAACGGACTGCGCACGTGAGAACGGTAGCCCATAAAACACATAGGGATACATTTTGAGTGCAGGAGCGTACGGATCAGGTCAGCACACAAAACGGACGTCGTGTGAACAGGCCCTCAATGCACAATGTGCATGCGCGAGGCTCGAAAATCAGCTGACTGCAACAACTGATCGCATCCACAGGCCTCATGGTCAACTTACGATACTGTGCATGCGGGTCGACATTCCTGAGGATACAGTTGCTCTTCTGTGCATGCGGGTCAACATTTCTCACGGGCAACTTTATCAACTACAGGTATTCCTCACTTAACGACCGAGTTCCGTTCCTACGACCAGAACATTAAAACGAATTGGTCGTTAAGCGAGGAACTGTATACAGTACTGTATAGTGTTGCAGATGTATAGTAATGAACAGTGTACTGTAAATCGGTCAATAAAATACTTACCAAGACCCGCAGTGGAGAACGGAGTACAGCACTTCCACCAGCGAGACGTCGCACTGCTCCTGCCACGTTCCCGCACGTAAGGTCGGAGAGCTGGCCGTAAGTCATAAAGTGAGGAATGTCTGTATATGCTTCATTTTAATTTCGAACAGGGCCGCAATAGGCCCATAGTTCTCCTTAGGGTAACGGGAGGACACAAACTAGCGTCCTCCCGTCACCCTAGGCTCAGTATACCGCAAGCTACAGCTCCCAGACAGGCGGTATTCAACCTGAGAGACAGATTCTGGGTGACTTCTTGCTTAAGCTTGCAGTCATGGATGATGCTGACATTAAAGTTAAAGAGCTGGAAAAGTGTGCATCTGGCCAGGCGTTTGAGCTTATCCTGAGCCCTCCATCTACTGATGCTGCTCCAGACCTTTTAATCGCCTCTCCAAAGAAAAAGGAATGCTCACTGGAAGAAATTCAAAAGAAGCTAGAAGCAGCAGAGGAGAGGCGCAAGTTGCATGAAGCTGAAATCTTGAAGCAACTTGCTGAAAAGAGAGAACATGAGAAGGAAGTTCAGCAAAAAGCTAAAGAGGAGAAGAATAATTTCAGCAAAATGGCGGAAGAGAAGTTAACTTCAAAAATGGAAAAATACATTCAGGTACCTTAATTATTAACAAAAATGTATCTTATTTGTGTATCACTCGGCTGTAGATCCTCCAATCAT